GTTCCCAACCTCAAAGATTCAAATACCAAAAAGATTTAACAAGCCTTGCATTGAACACAAAAATCGGGTTTGAAAACGTTTTTGTGAGATATTGGTCGCATTGAATCTAGCAACTTCAGGGTCCCAGACTGAACATTCGAACGCGGAGATTCAGTCTGAAAGGGGCCCAGTGATCACATTGATGTTTTCGATGTAGGGGGGAGCCACCCGGCTGAAGACTAGCTGGTCATCTGTTGCCACTGCACCCCTGCCCAAACATATGTTCATTGATTCCAAAAGAGAGGGTTGGAGAAGATCTGAGAAATCAGAAAGCCACCCAAGATACGTTCTATGATTCTATATCCCAATGATGTCCACTTTTGGCTCTTTATAGCCCACCATCATTTTTTTTCACCAGCAATATTCTGAGGAGCAGCTGATGTCGAAGCTTCAGGGTCTGGCAAAAGCCACTGCAGAGCAAGAGGCGAGGGGAACAGCAGCTGGCTGTGGGTTGTAAATTGGGTTTTGCCGGACTATTAATCGGAATATCCATAGGGGATAGAATGGGAAATCATAGACATATATGAGACACAATGGGAATATACCAGCCACGAGTGAATTTCACTGGATTGGTTGAAGGGAAAATATTGACTGGAAACATCAAATTGGTACTGTAGGGGTTTCCTGTATGTTTCCCTTAAACCAATTGAATGTGAATGGAGGTTTTCTGAAAGCGGGATATGCCATCCAAAAAAAATACTTGTGATTTGACGGGGAACATGATAATTCACCAGAGGATTTTTGGGTACCCTATTTTGAGACAAAACAAATTATCAGGAGATGGGTGTATCAACAGCCAAAATTGCAAATTTTGGTAATGTAATGCTGTAACATGATATGATCATCGTAACATGTTGATCATTCTTTGTTGTTTATCAAAAAAGGATGCATGCAAAAGAGGGGGCATGCAGCATGTGTTTATATAATCATGGGATGTCATGTATATTTTATTAGGTTATGTATTTGCCAGCATGGGTTTATCATTCATATTGGGTTTTATTTTTGGGCGACCATGGATGTGTAGCCAAGAGACGCCGGGGTAGAATAGTCTTCTGATACCTTCACATATCTAAGCCCTGGTTTGTTCAATCCTGGAAATGTGGTGAACGAAATGGGGAGATCAAGGGAAATCAACCACCAGCAACTGGGAATTTGATATTTGGCTATTGGTGAGACATTAAATCAACGCATGTCGGGTTTTATTCATAGACCGGCTAGTGCTTTGACTGGGGGCTAACCTCATGCTTTGCGATTGTTGTTTATTGATGTCTGTTGATCATTTGCTATGTTTAGCAAATTGATACCGTAGATGATATACTTACATGAACCACATCAACCAATCAAACAACACTAAACCAAATAAATAAACCAATCAAACTTCAATGTATCATTTGGTGAATTTTAGATATGCGACCAACGAATGGGGGCCTAAGCAACCGTGGTGATGCAACTGACAACACCGCAGGGGGCAAAGAGGATGTGCTTGGCAAATGGGAGACAACTTTTATTACTTTAGTTATGTCATAATAGTTATGTCTTCTCTATTGTTTGTTGATGTTTGTTGGTCTTATGTTTCTCAACGGAGATTTTAACCAGCAAATATCGGACATACTTTGTGATACTGTGCGCTGACACAGATGCCAAGTTTGATTACCTGAGAGTAGTCAATGCGATCCGTATTTGGATTTTTTTTGATTGGTTAACTATTGATCCCAGAAAGTAATTACAAGCGATTGATTTCCTAAATTATATATTGATTTTATTTGTGGGATGTCAAAATTACAATGTGGGGTTTTCTACATGTGGGGGTGAGACAAGGCAAAACCCTGATAATCAAACAATGGCGCCGTGGAAAATCCTCCATTTATAGCCGATGTCCCATAGGGGATTTCCCATTGCCATGTTTGATGAAGGCACTAGCCTTCCTCGGTTATGACACCAACAATAACTTCACAATCTATCGACTAACATTATAGGGATAGTTACTGTACTTGGATGTGATGGTATTGTCAAGGACGTTTTCTTGGGAATATCATGGGTATATGGAATATAGATGGAAATAACATTGAAAGGAATTGAGAACTTGCAACTGGCGTGAGTCAATTCAAGGTGGTGCACTATAGTTAGCTAAGTTGTTTTTAAACCATGTCTCACTATAGATGCATGGTTATAAATATTTTTTATAGGTGTACCTACCAGAAGCCTTGAACAAAACCCTAGTTTGCTTATGATGTTTTTTGTCAACTGTGAGGCGCCACCAAAAGATGGGATCATCTCTACAGGTCAAGTTCGCGTGGGGCTTTGTTTTGTTGTATCATGTTAGATGTCGAGCCTGAAAACATCCACTGAAAGATTTGTATTGGCAATGGGAAATCCAAAGAAGTCGATTTCATGGGTTTTACCTCTGAAAACATGGTGATTTATAGGTTCCACCTGTGACAATCAAAAAATCCCGTCCCGCTAAAATAAATACCCCCCATGACTGGGCCCCCAAAATTAAGAGCAATCCAATGCTCCAGCCGCTTTTCATTTAGGGGTTGTTTAGTGGGGAAGGGATTATAAATTCCATTAGATATCCTTTTTTTCCCCACCTGCCAGGTGAGGGTTGTTAGATTTTATGTCAGTTGCCTCCTCCTCCTCCTCCTGCCTCGTCCTCCTCTCCTCCTCCTCCTCTCCTCCTCGTCCTCCTCGTCCTCCTTGTCATCCTTGTCGTCCTTGTCGTCCTCGTCGTCCTCGTCGTCCTCGTCGTCCTCGTCCAACTGCGACCCGCGATCCACAGTGTTCTCTGCCGGACCTCAACCACGACCATCCACGCCCAGTGTTCCCTGCCGGACCTCAACCGCGACCATCCACGCCCAGTGTTCCCTGCCGGACCTCAACCACGACCAGCCACGCCCAGTGTTCCCTGCCGGACCTCAACCACGACCAGCCACGCCCAGTGTTCCCTGCCGGACCTCAACCGCGAGTATCCACGCCAAGTGTTCCCTGCCGGACCTCATGTAGGAAGATAAAATGTCAGATAGAGTGCCAGAAGATTTGCCAGGTAGAATGTCAGAAAATATGCCAGAAGATATGCCAGATAGATATGCCAGAAGATATTCCAGAAGATTTGCCAGATAGAATGCCAGATAGAATGCCAGATAGAATGCCAGAAGATATGTCAGAATATATGCCAGAAGATATGCCAGATAGAATGCCAGATAGAATGCCAGAAGATATGTCAGATAGAATGCCAGAAGATATGCCAGATAGAATGCCAGAAGATTTGCCGGATAGAATGCCAGAAGATATGCCAGATAGAATGCCAAATAGAATGTCAGAAGATATGTCAGATAGAATGCCAGAAGATGTGCCAGTAAGAACATGTATAAATGTCATGGTGGGGATCACACGAAGTAAAGTAATTTCATTCATATCACTAGCATCTCCCCAGATTAGATTCCATTTGATCCCCAATTCCATGGACTCCGCAATTTGGCCGGCTTAAATAGAATGAAAATGGAATGAATACTTACGTCCTGGAACATGTAATTTTGCTATGGGGTTATTGATATCCAAATATGATGGTTCAGATCCCATTTGATCCCCATAAATTCATATCTGATTGGTGGTTTGGAACATGTTTTATTTTCCATAATATATGGGTTGTTATCCTTCCCATTGACTTTCATATTTTTCAAGATGGTTATTGCATGTTATTGCACCACCAAGCAGTATAGATTCCATGAAATCCGCCATTTTGCTTCCTGAAATCCTCATTTTCTCCGTGAATTGATCCCATCTGATCCCCATCCAGGCCATTGAGCTGGCTGAGCGCGTTTGCGGCGCGGTGACACGCTTGCGTGAAGCTGGGCCATGAAGATTGGGTGATTGTTCAGGGCTTCAGCAGCAAAACCCATGGGATTCAAGCTGATTGAGTGGGAAATGATTTATGGCTAAGTTTGGTTTTTGTTCAGTAGCTTGCCTGTTGGGCTTTTGGTATGGTAAAAAACACACACACACATTATTAATATATATATATATATTATATATATAGTAATATAGTCGTATGTATATATATATATATCAAACTAGTTCATGAGTTGCTTGTTGCCCAACAAAGCACAACCAGGGGACCCCACCTTTTTCGGGGCGCGGCATGAATCGATCCCCCAAGAATGGCGGGGTGATACTGACAGACTAACCCATTCGGAATGGGAAGGCTAAGCTGGGATATGGTTGGGATATAGCTGGGGTATATGGTAACAATTGGTAACATATAAACCAATAGATGGCAATAGTTGGGATATAAGCTGGGTATATTTAGGATATAGTTGGGATATGACAACCACTTAGCAACTGGGACGGACCATCAATGGGTGGACTATAACGACCCTACACCGTCACTAGAAATGATGGTGAATGCAAGGGAACCCATTGACATCCAAGAGGTCATTGCATGATGTTTCGTAGCGATGCTAAGAAGGTGCTGATTTAGGCCCCAATCCAATCCCTATGGCACTATGGATCCAGCCGTACCTTTTCAGGAAGTACTTGGAGTATGATTTAGGAGGTTAAGTACTAAGTACTTTCTCGGACAGTGTTTGGATCTATAGGGAAGGATAAGATATGATAAGGATCCAATTCAATAATTTAAATAAACATCTCAATACATCTCATGTTTTCGGGTTTTGGAGGCGCATCCCCTCTCCACCAGAGTCACCGTCGGTGAGGTTGGACCCGCCATTTGTTGGCTCGTTAGATTTGACTGAAATATGTTGGTGCCCGTCCTTCCAAACATCGAGTCAGGCAAAGCCATTTGATCTTGACACATCAAATTTCAGAAAATTCCCAGTTGGTTGCTACATGCTTTGATTGGTTTGTTCCATGATATTTCTATGCCCACTATAAGTCCAAAACTATACCTTCAGACCTTACCCTTGTGGTGGGCATCCACCACATCTTCCCCTTGGTTTCCAGCCATGGCCAACGAACCCTCCATGGTGCGCCGGCACTCCCGCCTGAGTGATGGGGGGATGATGGAGCGACGCCACTCGCAGCCGAAGATGCGAAGGGGACCCCTGCCGCAGGCGGGAAAACTGTGGGAAAACTGTGGGAAGCACAACGGGGGAGTGACTTTTTCAGCTGATTCTACATGATTCTACCATGTTCTACCATATTTATCCATATTCTACCTCTTCATTTCAGTTTATATGTTTATTCGACCCATCAATTGGGGTGTTGGAAGCGATTGGAGACTGGCCTCAAGAATCCTCAAGACCCAGGACATGGACCGGAAATCTGACGCCGATCAGCGGCCCCCTTGGGGCCCCAAAGATGGTTGAAGAGGTGATACAGAATCCATGTAAGCTCCATGCGTTTCATAGCGCACGCCAAGAGCACTTGCTCTTGCGTCATCCATATCATAAGCTTGGCAGGACTCCCAAATCCAAATAATCCAATGATTTGAAACATGTCATTTCGATTGATTGTTTTTCCCCACACGGAATCTGGCAAATCAGCATGGAACACGCTGTTCGAACACGTTTCTCTCCTGGTCGCCATCAATTTCCCGACAGGTGGTGGTCAGAAACTTTATCGCAGAGGCTGATGCTGGATTTTTTTTACTCAAGACTGTAGACACCAACTTCGAAGCGAATGGAATTGAGCACCCAAAATTGGTGAGTTAATTACTCTCTCCCAAATTAACATAGACCCTGAAAATAGCCAATCTTTATTAATGATGTGTCACACGTGGAAAGTAGATCGCTTTCCACTAAATACATGTATTTTTGAGGGTCTATGCGGGGTCTACGAATTCGGGGATGGTAGAAGGTCTCTAAAAGCATCTTTTTGTTTGTGCATAATATTTGCCCAACAGAAAAAGTTTTTTTTTCCTCGAAGTCAACTGATTGCAGTGGGAAGCCTGTCAAACGCCCCAAAGTCGGAAGTTCTTCTCGAAATTGAGGTTAGCTCAGTGATTTGTCTGAAGATCTTACTGTTTTTTGGACCCCAAAACGCAAACATTGAGTTTTTGGTCGTCAAATTACGTGTAGAGCCTTGCAACCATTGATCCTCCAGTCCTCCTGTCGCAGATGTTGACGTCGCAGTTGCAGGTGGAACCCAACATCCTGCGTGCATGGCTGAAGATTTTTGACCCTGAGTACAGGTTCCATATCACCAGCGATCAGTTCTGCATGGGCATGGCACCTTGGATTTCTACAGATTTCTTTGGGGAGAAAAAGACGCAGCTGTTGATCATAGTCTTGGATGTGACATCCCGAGAAATGGTTTACAGTCAAGATATGTCAAGATGATTTAGGTTACCCTCCAGCACACTGACATAGCTATAGCAAATGGCACATTTACAATATCATTTACCATATGTCTGTAAACCTATATCAACAATTGTGATTTTCCAATATGTTCCAATATCTAATCTTCCCATATTTTCCCAATATGTTCCAATATTTACCCATATGTTTTCATATGTTCCATATTATTATGACATATTTCCAGGGGTTCCCAACCCGGCTCCTGCCATCTCCTGGTTTCCCTGGTTTCAGGAGAGGGCCGGCTATGCGGGTGATGTCTATTTGCTCTTTCAGCGTTTGGATACCGACACCTGGATTCCGAAGAGGGCGAGCTGGAAAGTCACCATGTGAATAATAGGTAAATCATAGTAAACCATCTGTAGATGGTCCATATAATATAGGTAAATCACATCTCATAGTAATTCATTTGTAGATGGTCCATCTATGTTCATTTTCCATCCCCAATTTCAACCGCATTACCAATATTGGAGATATTAATCAGATAATGAACATTATATCTGGACATAAATCCCATTACCCTCTGGTTATTCATGAATCTCCATGATAGAGACCGGGCAAACCCAACAGTAGAGAATCCCCAAAACAATGGGTAAACCCATGCCATAAATGGTACGCTCAATGGTTTTGACTATATATTCATTGGCAAACTCAATGCCAAAAAACAATTCCCAAACCCCCATTTTAATATATTTTAATCAATTTCATAGGTTTGTATAGGCCATATTGGTTTTACAACATAAATAAGTGTAGGGACCCCACATAGGATAGAAAGGTACTGGTGATCCTGCTGAAATAGTGATAAATTGATAATTTACATTTCTATCTTTTCGGACGTTGGACGTTCCTACTATTGTTGTTTGTTTATTGGTCCAAAATCATTTTTGAGAGAAAGTTACGGTTATAGTTATCATCATATCCGATATGCATAGATATTTCTTGTATTTGTTTACATTATTACCATTGATCATATTATAATCTATTATCATTATTATAAAATATTTTAGGTTAGAGAAATGATTGTAAATCATGATTCATGATCATATGATATGTTTCTTTATAAAATTATAAACAATGATGGTCAGACATGGAACATCTATGGTAATTCTATATGAACCCCTGTTTTTTTGCACGTTTGACACGTGGGGTTTTTGTTGGTCCCTCCAAGGATAACTCGGGAAAGCTAACGCTTGATGAGATTGATGAAGACGCAGCCAAGCTTTGTCTCACCTTCAAGTTGCCTGGCGCGACACCTGTGAAACGCTGGACTTTGGATGAAGGATTTCTGGTAGCTGGTAGCGGGTTCAACCATGGAAAATGGGGACTGAGCCAGAACATATGGTGAACATGATGATTTTTATTGATGGAAAATGGGCTTTAGCCAGAAAATATGGGGGACTTTATGATGACATTCATGTTTAATGGGACATGTGATGCAAACTCAATGCCATAAACCATAAACCGTCCCCGTTTGATGGTTGTTGTAATTATTGTGTATAATTACTCGGAGTTGGGATGATTTGCGGTAGCCTTCAAACCCTTGGTTGATTTGTGGATCCCACATTAGAACATACCTTGCCCAAGCATGTAGTCAAACACATAGTGAAACTATGATTGGGGAACCAGGGTTTTGACCCATGGTCATATTTTGATGATTAAGCAGTATGGTTCGTACAAAAAAAAATCATGTGGATAGTGATCAGAGAAATCTCCGCTATTGTGGGGGTTATTGAAGGTTATTGTAACTCCCTGTTGGGTTTTTCTGCCAAAAAGGGGGTTTCCATAGGTCAAGGTGTATTGAGTGTATTGAAGAGCTTCCCATGTCAAACTACCCCCGGGATCCCAGACAGAAGTTATCCTGTTGGAATTTCATGCAAAACCTCAATGGTAAGGTAGTACTTAGTAGCTCTTGGGAGTTGCTTGAGTATATCAGTGGGTTTTGGATGATTTTTTTTTTGCCCCAAACATTACCCTCCAGTAATAAGACATGGCAAGCTGGACTGTCCTATTGAGACCTCCATTTGATTCCGGGATGTATAGTTTTAACCTATCAAATCACCATTTTCACATATATTCTGAGCAAATTATAGTGACATCACTGTGATCTTAGTAGAATCATGGTTAGTAAATGTTAGTAAGGGGAATTATCCCAAGATATTGCCTTATTTCAGGTGGGTGAATTATGTGAATTTGCCCAGATTCAGGTTAGTGAATCATCGAGGGGCCATATTTTCCCTGGCCATGAAACCAGGGCCATGCAGCCAGTGACCGGCCAAGGCAATGGTGTGTAGCCTCCTTTGAGAGCCCTTTAGACATGGTCTACAGATTGAGCAGGGGCAAGGATTATCTCTCAGACACTTGGCATTCGGCCGAAGTGTGAATTTGAAGTGGTTGACATTCAACCAAAGTGTAGATGTGGGTGTTTTTTTAATGATTTATCCATAGTAAAGTGGTAAACCCAATGGTGGATCTACTGGAAATGGGGATAGTTTGTACATGTTTGTACCACCTGTTTCTGGTAAATTTGAGGACGGTCTATCATTGGGTTTGCTAAACTACTTCATGGCTGGTTTTCTTTCAGGTCCAATTGATTGGAATTGGATATGGTGCCTCTATTAGCTGATGATATAATTACCGCACTTGCTACGTGCAGCCAGTCTTAGTAGTAGTAACCTACACATTTCCCACCCCAACAATCCAACAATACCCAACAATCTCCTTGAGAATCAAAGGCGTACAGTACCCTTAAGAAACTCCGTTTGGACATGTTTCCGACCAACCATTGCAGGAAGAAGATTTCAAGCTTCGCTGCCGGCTGTTCGACTGGAAAGACGGCCAAGAAGAATGGCTGTGGAAAGGGCACCTGAGTCGCAAGGGGGGATGTGTGCTGGCTGTCCCCTTCAAAGAATCCTTATTTTTTCAGAATGACATCATCAAAACATCAGAAACAGATTTAACATGATATAACCTTGTCAATATACCTTATAAATCCTTATAACATGACCTTGTCAATCACCATCAACGTCAAAAAATCCAACTGTCTGGCAATGACATGTTCAAACCAAAATCGCGATTGCTGATCGCCTTCACCGGGAAGGGCATATCTGAAGACGGAGATTTCCCTTCGACAAGGTTTGTAAACCAGCGGGCTGTGTTTGAACACGGGCTTCTCCGAAAAGTCTGATGGTGAATCGCTGTTTTCACCGTGCATGCTGCTCTTTTGGTGGTAAATGCAACATGTCCAGACACACTGAGTTATCAGATATCACACTGTTGGTGAAATATATGCAAGTAATTTTATGTGCCCAGTAATTTTCCATGATATCCCCATTTTGTTGGTTATATCAAGTTATATTTGATCCTATATTACTTGAATGATCATCCCACTTAGTAACTAATTCGTAACCATCGTGTTATATATATATACCACGTATAAAAGATAGATAGATAGATAGATACATAGATAGATAGATAGATAGATAAATAGATAGATAGATAAATAGATAGATAGATGGATAGATAAATAGATAAATAGATGGATGGATGGATGGATGGATGGTGGATGGACGGATGGATATATACACACATATATATATATATATCGGATAACCCACGAATGGGGGACTTACTAGTCAGGGTTATTTGCCAGGTACTAAGTAGGATGATCCTCCAAATATTGGTATTATCCCCATGAATCACCCATGTCAACACATGTTACACCACGTTAAACACAATTTTAACACATGTTAAGCCATGTTAAACAACGTTTTGCACCATGTTAAACCATGTTAAAGCCCCCGTGTTTGATAGCGACCCCCCTCAAAATCTGCCAGTTTTTTCCAGGGTGGCGCTGCACAACGAAGAGTACGTCCGGCCCGAGATGCTCAAGTGGATGGCACTGGGAAAGGAAGAGCATCGGGAGAAAGAGGAGCTGAAGAAGCTGGCCATGAAGGCGGGAATCCGGGAAATCATGGAGGAAATGATGGAAGAATTACCCAACCTGGTTATGACTGTTACATAGCCATGGTATAGATGGCCCATAGAAATAGATGGTTTACCTATAAAAAATGGTGATTATCCATGGCTATGTTAAATAACCAGATGGTAATCATTGATTATCTGGTTTGTGGTTTGTAACATTTTTGCTCCCATATATTGGGAATAATTCGGAATAATCATTCCAACTGACTAATATTTTTATTGGCATGCAGAGTCACAGAATCATGGAGATATCGCATCGCCTGCGAAGTTTCTACTAGACATACGTTTGTAGGCTTAGCTAAATGTGACGCTGCCTTCACCACAGAAAACCTCACCAAGCAGACTCGTGACCGTGCGATCCTGAGGAGTGCTTTGAATGGTACCTTTTTTACAGCAGATCACATGAGACACAGAGATACACCAGGTGACACGAGGTGCAAACTTTGTTTTCAGGAAGACAGCCTTTTTCATAGAAACTGGGAATGCGTGAAACTTCAGACATGCCGTGAACACCTCAAGCCAGAGCAGCGAGAGGAAATCAAGCAAATGGATCCAGCAACCTTTTTACAAGGATGGTTTCCACTTCCAGACCTCACGTTTGTTTTCCGGGCTATGCTTGCTAACCTTCCAGACTATTTTGATTGCCAGGTGGATCTGCCCAGCACAACTCAGACTCAAGACCCAATGCATTACTTCACGGATGGTAGTTGCCTTCGGCCTAAAGACAGAGTCGCCAGAATTTGCAGTTGGGGAGTGGTTTGCACCAACAAATCAGATCTTTGGAGTTTTGAAGCAGTGGCCTCCGGTCTCCTGCCCGGGAGACATCAGACAGTGGTCAGATCAGAACTGACTGCAGCCGCAGCAGCTTTGCATGCAGCAGCCATGAGAAGACATAAGTTCTGCATTTGGACCGACAGCCAAAGGGTTTTTTCGCTGTTGAGATCCCTTTTTGATGACCCAAACCGTGTGTGGGGAGCAAGAGGACCAAATCATGATCTAATCAATGCAGTAGCAGCGGAATTCAGAGAAGCAGCACCGTATTGTCGCGGTGTTTTCAAAGTAGCCAGTCATCAACAAATCAAGCCCAACATGTCGCCTGCCGAGCGATGGTGTTTCTCAGGAAATGACGCTGCAGACAAAGTGGCTGAACAAGCTTTTCAGTCGCAACCAAAGTTGATGGAATGTTGGAAAGAACTCACACAGCAACTTGATCACCGCCGTTCCTTGCGCGATGGCATGCATGCAATGCTAGTAGCAATAGGAGTGGAATGTCTCATGAATGCACAGAAGAAAATCCAGCCAAAGCAGCCGGCAGCCAAACAGATGCTCAGGCCGTTAGACATGACAGCCTGGAACCTACCACTTGAACTGCCGCCTGCAGCCAAACCGTACGTAGTGCCTGAAACCACAGCCATTTTGCAGTGGATTGATGGACTTCATGACTCCACCAAACCTGTTCAGCGTTGGTCTTGGTGGCAGCTTTACTTGGATGCTTGGTTGAATGTTCCGAACATGGGCCCTTGGTACCATGTTAACAGCAAGCAATGGAAAGGGGGACGCAGCCAGCCCCCTGAGAGTTTCCAAAGAAAAGCCAGGTGGTTTTCTCAGTATTTAACTAAGTTGAGTAAAGCATGTCAGGTCTCGTTGCCACTGCAGCATGCGTCACCGAATGGCACCGCAATAGCTTTCTGGACCACCACATTGCCCATTAGGGCTGAGTTGAGCCGCACAGAAGCACTGGATAGCTGGTTTGGACGACATATGCCGTGTGCATCTCGTACGTCGGACCTTAGAAAGATCAACATGTGAATTTTGTGGACGAGCACAAGAAGAAGGGCGATACCCTGCAGGGGACGCAGGCGGTCACCACGTCCGCCCGGCCAAAGGGCTGTCGTGCTGACATTTGGCAAAAGAGCGAAAAAGAGTGACTAATATTTTTCAGAGGGGTTGAAAACCACCTAACCACTTATAGATTACTAGGAATTCATGGAAAAGGACGATGGGATTGATTTATGGAAGAATTGGAGTCAATGTGGATCTAGGGCTACAAGCCACACTACGGGGATTAAATGACCTTGTAGCTTTCCTGCTTTGGAGTGTTTCACGGTGTCACCTTCGGTCGCTGACGCCGATTCGCTTTGCAGAGAGGCTCCGCGCTGCGTGGCAGACAAGTATGCCCTGCACTGTATGTACTGCAGCATAGTACAGTACAGTTATATAAATATTTGAGGTACATGTAGTACATGTTATCAGTTCATTATTACATATATATTTAATTATTGTGGAATTGTTTGATAATGTTTGCATTTTTCTTTGTACAGTGGTGTCACAAACGTTGCTGAATCTGCATCTCAAATTCCGCATGGCGATTGTTGATGGGATCAGTAGGGAATGGGGATTCATCCGTACTCCAGCAATCATTTTATGGATAGCCCAGGGTAAACTAACGTAGATGTGGTTTACCAACCGTCGTTTCCCGAGGAAAATCGTCTACAAGTGGTTGATGTTCCACATCTATGTTAGGTCATCTTAGGGTATACAATGCGACACTGGGAAATCATGGGTAGACACTGGGATATTTCATGGGAATGTATCAGCCATTTCATGGGGAGATGGGAGTATTTTCATGTATTTTCGGGCGGCTAGTACCTGAAATAGGGCACCCCTAAATATTGTTGGTTAGAGGTCATAAGTTGTGATGGGTAATCACATGTAATCATGAATAATCATCATTGGCCCGATTACTCATCATCCCTATGTTTAAAGGTTTGGGGGTATACCATTCTCAAACGCACCGGCAAGATGTTGAAAAATCATCATTTTAATAGGTCAATCATATATATATATAAATGGATATAAATGGGGCATGTTCCATTAGCTATGCTAGTTTACTTGAGGGTATTTGTTTAAAAATATTCTACATTTGAATCAATGGTGCATATGGGAGGATGGTGGTGAACCATTGCCTAAGTTGTCATGGAAGTGCTGAAGAGCCTATGGCAGGTTCACGCCGTGAAGATACGAGAGCGACAGATGTTAGCACAAGCCGCTGGAGAGCAGGTGAGAAGGTTCCCTCCTACCTTTGAAATCGGAGATAGAACCCCAAAGCATGGGTTGGAATGGTTGGAATGGTTATCATTGGAGCCATTATCGTACATTGGCTTTATATGGTATGGTATCATGTACAATCATGTACACACATTTATAGGAATAATACAATATATATATATATATATATATAATCAGTATATAAATGTAAATGATAGTGGTATCTATGGCATAGATCGAATTTCCATTTCAGATCGTATATATAATATGGGCCAATATATATATATATATATAATGTATGTATGTATATGTATATATATATAATGTGGGCACATATATATATATATATATATATATATATATCGAGACACGCCATATATACACCATATCTGAAGCCTAGGCCCTTCCGCAGTTCAAGGCCCGGGAGGATCCCGGAGGGACGTTCCAGTGAAGATCATTCAGCCTAGTTATCCCCTGTTAAAAACCCTGAGAGAGTGGATATCTTATCGTCCTGTGAAATCCCCTAGCTATATCCCTGTTTGAGACCTTGGTATTTGTTATTTTCTAGCTATACATTTGTGGATACATTTCGCAAGTTACAGGGGCCCCAGGGGCGCCATCTCCCAACTTAGGGGGGGTTGAAGCCACAGTTGTACCGCACAGCCATGAATATTCCCAAGTGCAGCCCCTCCAAGATCATCCCCAAATCCTCGGAGTATGCCAGGTTTTGTGCTGTTGTTCCAATATCGCATTCCAGAGATAGAAAAGTAAAAGATGTTGTCCAGTCACAGCCGGACATCTTAAAGACTTGCCATAAACAGTTGTTTCTTCGAATCCTGGTATTTTTCCATCAATTTTTTGTTTGGGTCTCCAGCCTTGGCGCATCATGGCGCATGGCGCCAGCCCTATTTAAAGCGCAAGTGCGGTGGGAGTTTGTTGGCGGCCTGGCGCCGGCATTTGGACCGCCATGCCTCCATGAGCGTCCGCCCGGCATGATTCGCCCTGCGGAGATACATGGAGAACATTGGATAACATTGGATTAAGATGGGTTAAGATGGGTTAAGATGGGTTAAGATGTAACTATTAAAGTACAATGTAACTATTTTTAAGTATAATAGTCAATAAAGATAATAAAGACATTTTAATGAGTTGATATTAGCAACATTTGGAACGTGTTTTAAAGCCTAGCCCTGCCAGGTGCACAAGTATGAAATGGCCAAAGCCGTGAAGGCTTTGTGTTGGCCGGGTGAGTTTCGGATCCTGTGGAAGGCTTTGGATAAGGACCCCTGAAGTGAGCCAGTTTTTTTGGTAGTCAGCAGAAGTTGACAAGATGACGTGTTGAATATACAGAGACAGTCATAGTGATCACCATATATCACTGTATATCACTATACATCTACAATACAATGATTTGAGGTATAGTGATATATAGTGATGATCTGACATCAATGTAATTCCATGTGCTTCCATGCAATTCCATGTTGCTTCGTGTTTTAAAAAGGAGTTGACAGAATGATGTCACTGCAACTGTGAGATCAGTTGGAGGTGATGACAGTGACCTGGTCCAATCCCGGCAGGACAAGAGCGGCCTGGTTTCGTACCAGGAGCTGGACATGCAGGGCGCGGAAGTGCTCGCTGAGTTCAAGCCCCTCGGGCGGATTAGATCCTGCTGCATAGGTTGTGTCATGGGTTGCATCTCTTGGAACGCCGAAAGATGGTGAAGGTCTTCAAGTTTTAGGTACAACCATGTACAACCCATGGTTTGAGTCCTAGCCTTTGTTTCCAGTCTATCAATTTGACCGGTTTCAAGAGCAGATGCACTTCGACAAACCATTCTTGTTGAAACTGCTTCACAAGTTTGTCCAAAACAGGCTGCCTTTGTGCCCCTAGCTCCGCCAATTCATCCTTGCTTTTTCTTCATATATTTTCCCAATAGAAATCACTAGAAATCGATCAACTGACAAATATATTGGTATATCGTATACGTATATATAGTATATATATATATATATATTGGTAGCATCCTCATTGTCTAATATTTTCGCATACCACCTCCATCTCCAATACCCGGCTCCGCCGAGGTCGTTTATCACGGCGGAGTTTGGCACGGCGGAGGACGCCTTCCACGCCATGGACAAGGCCAAGAACAACTCGGGACGGCTCTCAGAACGCGACTTCATCGAGGAATGCCAGAGGCGAGATATGGGGAACCTGGGGAAAAGCGATGGATTTCTTGTTGGGATATAATGGGAAACTTTACCATCAAACGCTGGGAGATATAAGGGGATATTAATGGGATAGATACTGTACATAACTAACTTGATACAAGCTGGGGCCACATAATTATAATTAGCTCAGTTGGTTTACTTCACTAGGTTGGGATTTATGGTCAATATATCAAACCATCTCCGGGGGTTTATAAACCAACTTCGAACAAGGGGGCCTCACCATGTCTGGGCTATGCCTGTGGAATCTTGCATCCTGATGAGTCAAGCTGGGCACAGCAATCCCCTTTTCTCGATTTTGATCACAGCCCTACTGCGACCTCAAGGGAATGATGGGTAACTATCCTAGCGTTTCCGCTTTAGCCGAGGCGCCGGGACTCTCAGAAAAGTGATGGTTAGTAACTGGTAGATCTGGTAGTACTGAGGGGTAACTACAGTATCCCAAAAAAGCCGTTTTTCAGGATGGTGATTTATTTTTCCAAAATGCTGTAAGAATAGGAAAATACAGACACACACACACATGATATAGAATAGTACGAATGAATAGCGAGAATGATAAGCAATCTCCATGTTTCTTGGTCAATCAACTCCCCCTAAAGTTGGTTTACAACCAGATTAGCTAGAACTTCTATAGCATAAGATATAGCTTTGCCACGGTGCCCGTCGCTCCAAGGCATGGCTTCACGGCCAGCCGTGCCCTTTTTCGGGGCTTGGACTTCCATGCCACGGGAAGTATCACACGGGATGAAGCTGGGATCGACCCGATGTCATTGAATTGAACCATATTGCATAGGGATTTCAAATATTGGAAATATAAGTGAATATATAACTAGTAAATGATGATTTGTTGATTTTGATGGGTTAAGTCTTTGGGGGGAAACCTACGGGAAAGTATGGTTTTGAACCCCAAATATATAGTGGTTTCAATGTTGGTTTCCTTTAAAGCCAATTCTGGGAAACCAATTTTGGGATGCAGTCATTGGAGGCACCAAGGAACCACCAATGAAAATAGCGACTTTTACCATCAAGAATAGGGATACAATTGGGTATTGATAACCAACTTGATATTATATCTGAATGAATTTGGCTGTATGTCTGAATATACTTGTAGGTAAGTTATACCCAAAGTGCATCTCCAGGCTGAAAATGATGGAAAACCACTGTATGGAATGGGTGCCTCGCTGCCGAACAAACCCAAATTGGCCATTTGTTGCATTTGTTGCTTAGATGACCATTTGTTGGGTCTACGGTATACAAGATTTCCAAAGCAGGAGCTTAGCGGATCATGTTGGGGTCAACAAGAGTAGGCTGGCATGAAGCCAGTTCTACGGGTCATATATGAACATCGGACCGCACAAGGAAATATGGCGGTATCATTTGCCAATCGTTCTATTGTCACATAATATGTATATATATATATACACACACGGTGACAAAATTGAAATATGTGGAGGCCGGGCCAGACCACCAGGCCCAGGAGGTAGTACGCATATTTAAATATAGTTGCCGTATAGACGATAATGCGTTTGTTTCTTAAATATCACAAATATATATATATATACATATATATATATATGTATATTATGTACACATACATCATGTAATATCAGCATGTAAATCAATACATAACTGTCTATCTATATATCTAATATCTAATATCTAATCTAATCTTATCTAATTATCTATCTCTCTCTGTCTCTAGATATATATATATATGTATAAACACTTCATCTGAGTTATCCCTGTGTTTCTTTAGATTGAAGCAGGACAGAAACCATTCCCCTCCAACCTCCGGCCCGAGGAGATCCTATTCCTGGACCACTGGGTGTGTCCCTCCTATCTAACAGTAGCCTGGCGCGGGTCTCACTGCAGTTATGGCCCTTAAACATGTATAAATGGGTTGAAACCAATAGAAAAACTTATATATTATATAGTTGGATGTTACAGGAGCTATAATTCCATTTATAACTGTTAAGGGCAAAAACTGTGTGGCACGGAAACTCGAAAAGTGACCCGCTGGTCATGTCCTGATACATATCTACCATGTTTGACCGGAGAGTCGTAGCAAACTCATCATGATCCTCCACATATACATCATTCTAATTCCGGTACTTCCAGTACTTATAAATATTAAATACCGTTCTAGTTTGCTTTGATAGCGTCATATTTAAGTGTTGTGCGCACGTCATCCCCTTGACGTCCCCATGGTGATCCCTGAGGCCCCTAAGAACGAGGCTGCTGCACAGGAATTTAAGCATCGTACCTTGGACATCCTTGGACACCTTCCGGCGATCATTGCCATCATTACCAATGGGTATCGGGAAGCATGTTAAACCAACAAACAAAAGTAGGAGTTGACGTAAATTTACGAATATGTAAGATAATGTGAGAATGTATCCCCCATGTATAGCTCACTATAAAGTGGACATCCTTTGCGCTTATAAAGTGGGTTTCCGGTCGCCACTTTATATACCGACAATGGGGGATAAAGCCGTGTTTTGCGCGAGAAACATGCCCTTGGACCTGGAAGATGACTTTATAGCAACGTTGGCTTTCCAGTTTATACCCGGCTGGTTCCCCACAAGGAAACGACTCAATATATGTGGCAATGCATTTTATAGACCGTTGGTTCCCTTCAAAGAATGGCCATAATATGTCACACCATCCACTTTATAGAAACATGTCTCCCCAATGATTTCGGGCCAATATCTTTCTGTTGGGGCTGTATACATGGCAAAGCACTTTATAGAGTGAAACTTGCCCTTTAAGAAGAAGAATTTGTGCTGCATCCAGGGCACTTTATAGAAAGAAAATTGCGGCAGAGCATTTTATAGAGTCATGAGATACATCACCCAAATCACTTTATAGAGCTGCCCAGGACCCCATTCACCCTGAGGACCCCTTTCAAGGGAAATCTTCTTCTCTATAAAGTGGCCAGTCCAGGTAAAACCCCTGAAAAAACAGAATCTATGTTGGACTGGCCACTTTATACCCCCTCCCCAAAGAGAATGCCTCTATAAAGTGGCCAGTCCAGGTAAAACCCCTGAAAAAACAGAATCTATGTTGGACTGGCCACTTTATACCCCCTCCCCCAACAGAGAATGCCTCTATAAAGTGGCCAGTCCAGGTAAAACCCCTGAAAAAACACATTTATTACAGAGAATGCCTCTATAAAGTGGCCAATGGCCACTTTTATACCCCCTCCCCCAACAGAGAATGCCTCTATAAAGTGGCCAGTCCAGGTAAAACCCCTGAAAAAACACATTTTTACCTGGAATGGCCACTTTATACCCCAGCCAGTGGGCTCCAGGACTTTGACCCGGAAACGGAAGGACTGACAACAAGGTAAAGGGGGAAAACTACAACGGAGAGGTACAACGGGAAGGCTACCACAAGAAAATGAGACATGTCACGTTTATATACGTTTATTGTTTTCAATGTGTCATATAGATTGGCGATGATTGGTATATTGAATATGTTGTAGATGTATTTTGGAACATATGTATACCTATGATTCACACATCAATATAAATATATATAAATCATAAACACATGCCAAACCAAAAACTTTTAGCTGAGTATTGTATTCCCAATCTGTTGGCAAATGTCCAGCCGATTCACCATGCGTGACCCAACAAGATTCAAACTATGGATTGTTTACTTTTGAAAAAAAATACTGGGTGAATCTACGTATATCTATGACGACAATCTCCCAAAATCATCCTAAAAATCTATGGACATCTATGGACCAAAACCACGGCCACATGCCCATCCTCTATAAAATGGTTTGCAAGAAAGTTCAGCTCTATAAAGTGGCTTGATCACGTCATTTCTGGCAGCCCCACCCTCTGTATAAACTGGCCGGTCCATGCCCATCCTCTATAAAATTGTTTGCAAGAACCAGTAAAAAAATATTTTCGAAAGTAAACAATCCATAGTTTGAATCTTGTTGGGTCACGCATGGTGAATCGGCTGGACATTTGCCAACAGATTGGGAATACAATACTCAGCTAAAAGTTTTTGGTTTGGCATGTGTTTATGATTTATATATATTTATATTGATGTGTGAATCATAGGTATACATATGTTCCAAAATACATCTACAACATATTCAATATACCAATCATCGCCAATCTATATGACACATTGAAAACAATAAACGTATATAAACGTGACATGTCTCATTTTCTTGTGGTAGCCTTCCCGTTGTACCTCTCCGTTGTAGTTTTCCCCCTTTACCTTGTTGTCAGCCCTTCCGTTTCCGGGTCAAAGTCCTGGAGCCCACTGGCTGGGGTATAAAGTGGCCATTCCAGGTAAAAATGTGTTTTTTCAGGGGTTTTACCTGGACTGGCCACTTTATAGAGGCATTCTCTGTTGGGGGAGGGGGTATAAAGTGGCCATTCCAGGTAAAAATGTGTTTTTTCAGGGGTTTTACCTGGACTGGCCACTTTATAGAGGCATTCTCTGTTGGGGGAGGGGGTATAAAGTGGCCAGTCCAACATAGATTCTGTTTTTTCAGGGGTTTTACCTGGACTGGCCACTTTATAGAGAAGAAGATTTCCCTTGAAAAATTCCTCAGGGTGAATGGGGTCCTGGGCGCGCCGCGCGCGCGCGCGCCAAAAAGGTGTCAAAATTGGAGCCATTTTGGCGCGCGCGCGCGCGCGGCGCGACCAGGACCCCCTTCACCCCAAGGACCCCTTTCAAAGGAAAGTGTGTTAGAGGCATTCTCTGTTGGGGGAGGGGGTATAAAGTGGCCAGTCCAACATAGATTTTGTTTTACCATAGATTCTGTTAACGACTTCGATATAGATATTTGTCTGGCTGTCGGTTTCGTTCGGTTTCGAAGTCATTCGAAGTCTTTTGGGTTCCCCATCGATGAGATCGATGATATTCCCCCAAGGTTTGAACGTGGCCCCTCAACTTTATAGACAATCATGTCGATGCTGCCATCGTCGCGATTAAGAAAATCATCGCTACTACAACGATCGTTGTTTAGCCGGAAATCCACATTATAGTGCCACTGTTCTGCACAAGTATTACTATCTGGATGTTCGGCATCTCACTTTATAGTCATGGGACATGTTCACAAGTACCCTCAAAAACCTGCATCGAGTTTTATGTTTTTACGCGGCCAGGCGACTTTATACAAACGTTGGATTTTGACTTTATAGACAAAACATGTTGGCTTTCCACTTTATAGACTCCAGACATGTGGCCATTCCAGTTTATACCAGGCTATTCTCTATAAAGTCGGCCGCAAAGCATCTAGCGGGCTATACATGGGGGATGAGAATGTAAGATATGTATATAGTTGCCAGTTGACTCTTCGAACTGCGGATCATATACCTTGGGGATGTTGTTTTTGTCATGTTCAAACCTGCCTCGAGTGATGATCGACAGTAACACATTTTGTTACGGGCTTGAAATCAAATCGTAGCGACTTGAGATTTGTTGGTCTTTATATACAGCTGTTTTGGCTCAAGTTATTAAGGGCCCGTTTTTGCGCTGAAGTCACTCTGCGACTGTAGGGCCATAATAGGCCACGTACATGAGATGTACCAGCCACGTCAATGCACCGCAAAATAACTAGTCGACCATGTTGGTAATGTCTAGATATCTTTTTGGCCATGTCAAGTTTAATTGTGGAATTGTGGATGTTCATGGCATTTTTTGACGCTCACTCTTACGTGTTGAACGCCTCATTCTTGCGCGAGGGCAATTCAATTGTTTATCCTTCCAAGAATCAACTCATCCCCTTAAAGTGTTGGTCTACATTTGCAGCACCACACCTCGAATGTTATAATACAGATGTTGCTTAGCCGCCTTGGATGGCTGGCTGCTTGCTTTCCACATGCGACTGGATCCTACGTGTTGGTTGATCCATCGGACTACGATCCCTCCTACTCAGCGCAGAAGAGTTTCGACTCTGCGCGTTCAGGGAAGGAATGCTTCTGTGGTACCTTGGTGATGACACCTTGGATGGGCCGTTTTGTGGATCAACATTGGGGGTAACCAATGGGCCCACCTTAAAAAAGTGCCATGTTTAGTCCTACTTGTGACTCATCCTCTGCGACTAATCTTGGTCACTGTTGACATCTTTTGACATCTTTTGACCCATGGCCATGTCGGTCTCAAAACGGCTGATTCTTGGGTGACAGATGGTCCCAGAGACCAACAGAAACATATCAATACATATCAAACATAGACAAAAGCTATGAAGTATTTGAAGTATTGATAATTGCTATCAATTGCTCACCAGACCCAAGATCTCCAAGGCGAGAGCCTGCACGCTTCCATTTGGAACAAGTTCCATTCGCAGCTGCAGGAGCCATGCCCGGCGGAGAGGTCATCACTCTTTCGATGTCGAAGGGGTCAATCTTAATCTGGTAGAACTGTCACAACTGTAAAAGCTATTGGTTTATCCTATGTTATTCTACCTTATACCTTATACCCGAATCCACGGACAATCAGAACCTGAATCTCTGGGTTTTTAGTCATGGTGCCCTTATTCACTTTCACTTTATGACGTTGCACTGTTTGTTGGTGGAGGGATAGCCTAAGATACAACTACCAAACACACGTTTCAGCGTAGAGGTAGGACCCATTTGAGAGAAATGTGATATACATATATAGACTTAGGATCAACATACTCACCACTTCATTTTGTTGAGCGATCTCCATAAATTCAAACATGTTCTTACTGCTTGTTGCTTAAATCAGTTTATATCATATTATATATATACATCCTTTCCTCCTCGATGCACAATCACATTCCATGTGTAACATGCATGCACAACTTACTGGTGCTTAGTAGGGAATGGATGGGAATGGGGGTTGCTGGGATGATTATTACTAGTCATTATGGATCATTCCCGAAAATTCCCTGCGTTTAGCACCAGTAAGACAAACCATCGCCCAGGAGAAGCTCCTGGAGGATCCCAGTTTCAGCGGCGACTGGGTCCACCAGCTCTGCGGCTCCGCGTATCCCGTGATTTTCCGTGTGGTCTCAGTGGACCAGGACGACACCTTCACGCTAAGCACGGATTGCCCAGCAGGCCACGGGAGTGGCATGTCTTATCAAAATCCCAGATAGGTTGATGGAATTCTTAGATTACATCAGATATTATAAGAATACAATAATGATACCATGTGGGAACTAAAAAGTTCAATTATATTATATTATATCACACACCTAGCTTTGGGAATGATCACCTAGAAAAGTCGTCGATGTGTCACAGTAGGAAAAAAGAAGGAGCATTTTTGTCGGTTTCCAGGACCGGTCACGGGGGAATATAACATGCCTTTTTGATGGAGTCCCGGTCCAATAGATTTATCTATTTTAGGGAACCATATAGTATACAGATTCCAAAGCTGCATATGCGTAACCTGAGGGATCCTAGATATCTAACAATGGTAAAGCAATGATAAACTAATAAACCACCCATAATTTGATGGTTTATAGCACCCATTTGTGGTAACATTGAGGATGGTGAATCTTCTTGCTTTACCACCATTGATCCGAAACACCCCCAAACGAAACCACGGTTTTTCGTCGGGAATTTCCACATAATTGGGACCAAAAAAATGGGAGTGTTTAATATTGCAGATATGGCTCGAAATACCAGTTATAAGTAAGAAGTACTAACTAAGTCACCCCATTTATAGAATGTAAAATCCCATAGAAACACCCGGTTATGACTAATAGCCATGGCCATAATTACCTGTAGATCCTGTAGGCGGAGTTCATTCCGTTCCCACGCAGGTGTTCTCAGTATGGTGCTGGTGTGCACTCAGTCGGCTGCTTTGCAGCACCGTGCCGGAGCCAAGCAGGAGCAGCCGAAGGTTATGCTGTAGCCTCCGGAGACATCAGTGTAGGAAAATGACCCATTTAATCATCTAGTTATTGGATATTTCTCATAATTGTATAGAGAGGCATGAGGAGATAATATGAGATAATGAGATATTACAGTAATAAGTAGTAATTATTATAGATGATTTATGAAAATTGGAGGTGTTCCATATAACTGTTTAGTTATAGAAGTTGGTGATGTTCCATAACATTTAGCTACAGATGTTAAAGTACCAGGGGGATCCGGATCTGGAGGATAAAGGGATTTGAAAGCGTGAACAACTGAAAGACTTGAGAGCAAGCTGATCTTGGTGATGTTGTGTGTTGTTCTGCCTGAAGGTCGCAACCTCCCAGGTGCATCCAGATATGATCTAAACCTGGTGATTTTCCATTGCCAGGTTGGTCGAATGTTGTAAGCCCCCCCCACTCATCGAGCTCCACTTTTGAAGGGTTTATATCGCCCGTTTCTGGTGAAATAAGGGATGGTTTACTACTGGGTTTGCCACATTATTTGAGTTTTGTTTGGCTCTGTCTGAGAATATGCTGCCACAAACTTATATATATATATATAATTGATGGTTGATTATCATGTTCGCCAGCAACAAAACCATTTTCCGGTCTATCCCATTTTCAGGCAAACTTCCAAACATCATATCTACATTATATACCGGTATATATCCCATGAATATCCCACCATATCCTTATTCTTGATGGATCTTGATGGTAACACTCAGAATTTTCATGGTTGGTTCCTGTCCATCAGGAGCCCATGAGCTTTCACTCCAACTATTTGGAGCAGGTTGAGACTGTGGATCGAGGCGCTGACTTCCAGGGAGATGCTGAATGGGGTGCCACCCCAAGAGTCGTGCTGCAGGAGACGGATGTCCTGGATGTAGAGGGGATGAGGAAATTGAAAATTTCGAAAACTAGTGGGGAAATTGACATGATCCACATAGAACAAAGCCACAGAAACCCAACTTGATTCTACTTGTTTTGGGCAGCACAAGGGATTAGGAAGCTTGGAAGTGGCTGGTCGCTGGGTGCAAAGACCTATGACATCCCTGTGTTTTTTGTGGGTGTTTTACCTAGTTGCCAAGCATGTCAGAACCCCATGTGATCAGATCAGGGGTTGGTGGGAACCCCCTGGGCCAATAACGAATGGTTTGGTCCAGTCATGATACAGCAGCATTTGCCATCAAAACGGCAATGGAACCCTAAAATCCAGGGACCTGCTGTTGGGTTGCAAAGCGCCAGATTCCCAGGAGGGAGAGTCGGTGGGCGATTTTTATGGTTCCGTGTCGTTGAACGATTGCATTTCACACTGCGACCGCGTGCCGCGGTGTATGTCCATTGCACATGGACCTCATGGATGTGATTTGGCTAGAAATTCTCAAGTGAAGCCTAGCGTGAAACCGTGAAAGATGTGAAAGTGAATTTAGATAAATGATACCAAGGCTAGTTTATCTTGATACCCTTTGCGATTCAACGTAGCTATACGCAGCTACAGTATCGAAGTCCTTCGCTGAGAAGATTTTTATCCTGAAAAACATTGAAAAACATTAGCAACAATTTTTCTCGAGGGTTTCATAATGTTATACATATATATATACATGCTATTACTATTTGTATTTATGATGTATTTATGTATTTCTACTTCTACCATATGTCTAGGCATTGTGCATGGTCCAATTTCAAAATATGTCAAAGCCATTGCCCCTCAGATTGGATGACAAGGTGTCCCTCAAGAATGCCCAAAGCCACCTCTTGACCTCTTGACCACTCACACCTTGACCACGTGGATGGGAGATGGTCCGAGGCCATTTGAAGGCCAGGTGTGTCCAGCCAGGGGAGGACATGGTTCCCCCGGGCGAGCAGGGCGCTGACTACCGAACCCTGTTTCGCCGCAGCTGCTCACTGTCATCGACCAAGGTGTGGCAACCGGGAAATGAGACTGGAAATTTGAGAGTTCTCCACAGGTTTGGTAGATGTGGGAGATACTGGTTTGGGTATTCTATAGAATTGTAACGGATATATATATATATATCATATATATATATATATATACATACACACACATATATATATAATTATATATACATAGCGAGAGAGAGAGAAAGAGAGAGAGAGAGCAGGTATGCATGGGGGTGGAGTATATAAGCATAAGTATAAGTACAAGTATAAAGATATTATTGTCACGTGTTTGTGACGTTTAATTTCGCGTGTTGGAATTCGATGGAATTCCGGTGTTTTTTGAATGCAAGACACTTTGAGGGATCCTCCCAAAATCAGACAATTCGCCGGAATTTGATATGCTTTGAGGATTGTGAGCAACTCACCTTGGCGCAGGGTTTTGGCAAAATGCATCAATAATTATGCATCATCTATCCCAGAATTGAAGGCAAGATCTTCAGGAAACCCTGATATTTGAGTATACCGTGGTTCCTTGTAAACTATGTTTTACTTCCAACCATTGCATCCACCTACAAACCTAACTCTGGCAGAGATTGGGCAATTAGGTGGCGTCACGCCCCTTAAGTTTTCAGCTGATCCCCAGGAGAACAGATACATGGAAGAGATGCAGTAACTTGGCAATGTTTGGGGAGCTTGGTGTCATCATGTCGTCATCCCTGGATCAGATAAAGCCCTGCTTGGGTCTAATTGCGACGGTCCATTGTGATCGCATGATATCGCATGTTTTTGTTCACCTTTTTTCGTTGTTTGGAGAAGCGGTTCACCCGCCCTGGTGAATCAGCCAGGATACAGGAACTTCACTGGGCGTAACGATATAGTTACTAACCGCTAACCGATTTCCAAGTAGGCTCCTGCAAGTATCAACAAAGCTTTGCAATGCCGCTTTCTGTCAGCACGATCAATGTCAGTGTTCGGCCTACAAAACTTTAATTCGTGGATGTGTGACTGTGTGACATCATCATTCGTGGATATGTGTGGTACTAAGTCCACCCATTTCTCATCATGTTTCCCATGGACCCCTTGCCATCGATGTCCCATGACCCAAGGAACATGATGGGCATGGCCCTCCGAGCCCTGGAATTTTGCCTCCACTGTTTAGATGCTTCTCCTTGGCCCTTTCTGCTGGAAGAAGTCTTGCAGAACTATGCCTTGGCCGTAGAGGCCCGGGATGAAAACACCCATCCCAAAAAATGGGGGGGTCCTTAAAGGGGGATCCCCAGTCGTCACCATGGTTGTTTCAATAGTGGTCCAATGGGGGTACCCCCAGTTTAGGAAACCTCCATATGTTCCATGTGTGGGATATTTATCAAGATTTACTCCATAAATATGACCCAAGTGTAGGTAGACATACTATACATTGGAGCACATCGGTATAAGAAAACCTATCCCAGGGTCCCATTGTGACTATGATTGTGGGATATTGTGGGTTCAAATCACAACCTCACCAACTGCCATCCTCATGGTAGGATTGGACGAAGAGTGTAAATGTATGTAAATGTGGATTGTGGTACTGGGTTTTGTGGACATGCATTGCTTTGCACCCAGAAATGCTACACTGAAAGGTGTATAGAACTGATATGTTTTCCAGACCATCCCCTTCTTTTGTTTATGAAGGTAATTCTATATCTTGCCACCTGATTAAAACAGAAAAGACGCATCACCACTTGTAGATCTATGTAAATGTAAATCAATGATTCAGGGATGTGTAGGGTTTTTCCACTAATATGTTCACCAAAACATACATTCTCTAACACAAAACCACCGAAAAAACTCATAAAATCGCCACATTTGTTGGCATATATGTCACCATAAAGGCTCCGCCGCCACATCCAGGCCCCGGAGCATTTCTTATGGCAACGGAGCAGCGGCCGTCCACCGAGTTTCGCGGCCTTTCCCGGGCCCTCCCCGGGGGGCGAGGAGCTCAGCTTGGAGCCACCTTCATCAAAGGTACCCATCAGTGCGGTGAGGCTGACCTTGTTGAGACTGCAGGTGAGGGGCGTGAGGGGCTGATGAAAAGAATGTGAATGTCAACCCCTGGATTTTGCTAAACCAGTTTGCCCCTTGGGGGATGCCAACGTTTATAGTAAATGAGTAAGTTGAAACTATTTTGGTGGTAGCCGGCCTTATGAATCAACACAGTTCATGAATCCGGGGTTCACATTCATTGCCTTTTGTTGAAAATAGAACGGGGATAACTGTAGTATGCTGGGATGCTTAAATATGATTGAACATGATTAATACTGTATTTGGTGGGTCTCGAACTGCTGATAAAGAATAAGGGTCGCAGCTTGGGCAGTTGGAGAGCCCTAAAATGTATTAAAATGTTCGATACTGACAAAGATGCGAATAGATTGGAAATTAACACCGGGGATGGTCCAATTTCTTATTTCTGTTTGAACTGTCAGAAACCCATGGGTTGATTGACTGCATATAGTAACCGTTACCCCCCAAAAAGATAGGTTCAAATTATCACCTTATAGATTCATTTTTGTCCTTTTCTATTTTCTTGGGTGGTTGCTATAAGTTGATGTTTCTCTTTGGTGGTCAGTCACGTCCCTTGGCTGTGTGGCACTCCCAGGTACGATGGATTCGAGGCTTGGAGATGGAAGCAGATTTCTGGCGCGGGAAATTGTCGCTGAATCCCGAGGAGAATGTGAGCCTGGAACGCGTCTCTGACTGAGTGGCGATTTATGGTGGGGAAACCCTGGGAAATTCGCGTCTCTCTGTAGAAAGTTGAAGATGTTTCAATAGGAAAATCATCGAACAAAATGGATGGCAATAGTTGTTTCAGCCCGGCAGCGCCAGTCGGCAAGAGGTTTGCCAATCATACTTTATGATAGTGGTTTGCTTGTTGAGCGTTTTGTTTTTCAAACTTATGACCCAGGCAGGATAATCAATTTATCCAAGCATTGGCATGGCCCCTTATTGGCCTTCACTATCCACCGGACCGGTGGGCACGGGCGCACAACCCAATGCAAGCCACTGAATCCCTCAAATAGTCCGATGTTGCTATCAGGCGGATATCCCGTGTTTCATGGTTTGGCACCCCATTTTACATCATCATGATCATTATCATTCAGCTTATTGCATTTATGTATTTAACCCGAAAAGGAAAACATCAGCTACTACCAGTTTTTTTCCGGCTGGGTTGCTATGTACGCAATCTATAAATATATATTTAGATATAATAAAGCAAGCTAGCTTGAGATAGATAGATGGATAGATAGATGGATAGATAGATAGATAGATGGATAGATAGTTGGATGGTTGGATAGATAAGATAAATAAGATAGATGGATGGATGGATGGATAGAAAGATAGATAGGTAGATAGGTAGATAGATTTTTTTTTAGAAAAAAAAATAGATAGATTTTATATACGTATATATAGATAGGTTATCTAGATATATAGATAGATAGATATATTATATATACATATGTATGCAGATAGATACTATGTTTTGATACACCTGTATTTTGTATAATTATCCCATTATATCCCTCTACCCCATCCAAATATCCCTTGAAACGGCGGAATGAGCCATGCACAACCAGGTTTGAAACGTTGGCTGGCCACCGGCGAAGTACCATGGACTCTGCCTGGCGACGACTTGTGCTACTACCTCCAGGATGCCCGAAGCAGAGGTACCGGACCTCGGCGGTTTTTGTTTGAGGGTGTGCACCATCCGGTAGCATGGCAATGGAAAACATAACCCTTTTATAGGTGATGGGTTATACATATGGGGTAAACCACCTGGATTGGTATTCTTGAGCTTGAATATGATTTTCCCTTTATTGGGAGGTATTTGCTAACCAAATAAATATAACATAATATAACTTAACATTCTGCAATGTAGCTAAGATTAGCCATGTGTGGTCTCTATTGAGGTCCTTACCTTGCCTGTAGAGAACGAAACTGCCAACGCACAATTTATACACTGGATATGTGGCCATATGTCTCACTTGTATCTTTTACTATCCGGTAAGCAAACATAGATGTGGAACAAAAACATACAAAAACCATGATTTCGATTGATTTCGTAGATCATGTTCCTAAGGAAACCCTGGTTTTCCACATCTATGTGAGTTAATCCCAGGGGCCCTATATTTTTCAGCGTCAGTCATTGCCTGGAGACCAATGGCCCAGGTGCAGCTAATGTGCCCCGGATCCTGAACACGGGGTCGGGGCCGTTGGCCCCAAAGCCCTTGCAGTGCCAAAACAAGGAGGGCCAGGGCCAGGGCAGCGGGCTGGTGTTCCAATGAGGGGGGAATGGGTAACCCTCTGGTAATTTAACATAGCTATTGAAAATGACAATTTATGGTGGATTTACCCATTGAAAATGGTGATTTTCCATAGTTATGTTAGTTTACCAGAGGGTACCCAGAAAATGACAAGTCATGAGAATTTTGAGTGGGTAAAAAAATGAGCAACATGATCAGCAAGAAATTATCGTTGGCCTTCTTTGGGCAGGTGTTTGACGTCACCCCGTGTAAAATTTCATTGTGATGGTTGGACAACAAATCGACGGGATTATAAACTTGTTTTGGATAGTTTGTCCATGATGCTCTAATATTTGAACTGCACTGGTATGCATATTACTATTAGTACAGTAGTAGCATGATTATTACCAACATTTTTTTTTATTGTTATTACTGCTAATATATATATATACATTCATACGCAATAGAACTTTTATCCATATTCGTACATACTAGTACAATATCAGGTAAGTACATCTAAAAAATGTGTTTTTTGGTCATCCCCTGCAGGATGTGAAGGTGGTGGCGGCAGATGGTCTGGCACGGTTTTACCTGAAGGCTGGTGGACAATCCATCGGGTGGCAACTGAGATCAAGTGGGTAAACTTATTAACTTTCAGCATCTTCCAAAGGTGGGCAAAAAATGTGAGGGGATAGCCTGTTGACCAGAGGCTTCTATAAAAGCAAGTAGAATTGTTCTCAAGAATTGGGTGAAGGGAGCATTTTCAGGAAACACCCGTGTTTCATGGTCAAAATCCAGGTTTTCCACGATTTTTCCCTGAAAGCAACCCAAGTGAAATTGCTGAATTCCTCCAATGTTCCCGTTGAAAATGGGGCTGATGCTGTTTTCCACGGGTGGAGGTGCTAGATGAGAATGAGATGGAGCCTCCATACCTGCCGGTGCAATGCCCAGTGGAGGAAGCTACAATGGGGGGGTTGGGTGAATGGAACAGATTTTCTTGTCCCCCAAAAAAATGGGGGATACCCTCCTGTGGAAAGTAGATCATTTTCCTAGGGAAACCCATGGGATTTTCCGCATCTTTCTGTCAGTTTACCATTTCCATGTAGAAAATTCATGAATGGTATGCCTCTCACGGGATCCTTTTCCGGAATGTGTTGAATGTTCTTTCGGAAAACTGTAGGCTCCAAGATTTTTTAGCCATGGAGGAAACAGCCTACAAGGTGATCTTGAGGCAGCTGTACAAACGTGAGCATAAATTGATATGCAAAACATGATGAAAGATGGTGAAAGTATGTTAAAGATACAGCCCTTGCTTTGGTTTTGTTCATTTGTTTCATTTTTTTCTGGGGAATCGCTCAAACTGCCTAGCCATGGATTTTGTTTGGCCGACTGGAAGAGTTTCGGTTGGTGGATGTGTTTTAACGGAAAAATATGATGTGGGTCATTGATGGACATGGCTGGTTTGTTTTTACCTCTGCAGCACGAATGTAGAATGATGATGGGTAAAGCTCCCTAAGTCAAGACAACATGTTTCCTTCTGCAATACTTTTGGCTGAGGTTCGATACCCTCCACTAGTCAAACATGGCTAGCCAGGAATCCCCCTGTAAATGGTCGTTTCAATGAGAATATCATGGAATTCAAGGGGCGCATGGTTTTCCAGCGTCTGACCCTGCCAGGAGTTGCATTTGTGTTTCCCGGCAGCGCATTTCGATGTGGTTCACATCCGCAACTCGCTGCTGTTCTGGTAATCAAACGTGGCAGTTGAAATGTACCCCTTTTGCAGGTGATGTTCCTCTTAAAAACCTTCATTTACAGGGGATTTCCCATGGAATTTGGGCCCAAAATTGCTAGAAGATGCTTGTGTAAGTCCAGATTTCATTGATGTACCGTGCAGATTGGCTCGCACCTCCTGTTTTCTTTTCTTGGCTGTATAGGAGGCTCCTGTGTGTAGATTCAAGAGCGCAGATCGGAATGCTTTCTCATTTTCCGTTTCACAAAATTCTTGTTATAAGAAATCAAACTTTCATGACTGGTTGACGGTTTAATTTGCGGTTGTTTCTTGCAACGTTCCCTTTCAAGATCTTTCAGCTATATCATCCATTGAACCATCCCCACTGGGATTCTAAGCCACTGGGCGCACCACGCCATGGAAAGATCATCATGTTTCAGAGGTGAATCATCCATAAATGGAGCATGTTCTCATTCGCAAACTGTGAAAATATACAATATGGTAATCATGAATTACCATTGACTATCTAACCATATCTAAATGTTGCTATTTATAACCCATCTATCTATCCATCCATCCATCCATCGATCTATCTCTTTTTATATCTATTTAATTCTATTTATATCTATCTGTATCTATGTATATCTATCTATATCTGTCTATACGTATCTATCCCTATCTATATCTAACTATATCTGCTTATATCCATCTATATCTTTTTTTTATTTATTTCTATATATATCTATCCATTTCTATATCTCTCTCTCTCTCTATCTCTCTCTCTATCTCTGTCTCCCTCTCTCTATCTCTGTCTCCCTCTCTCTTTCTGTCTACCTGTTTATCATTTATCTATCTATCTATCCATCCATCCATCCATCTATCTATCTATCCATCCATCCATCTATCTATCTATCTATCTATCTCTATATCTATCTCTATTCTATATCTATATATATATATCTATATATTTCTATACCTATATATATATAATATCTATATCTATCTATCTATCTATCCCTATCTCTATCTATCTAACTATCTATATATCTATCTATCTGTCTGTCTATCTATCTATCTATCTATCTATGTATCTATCTATCTATCTATCTATCTATCTATCTATCTATCTATCTCTATATCTATATCTATTTCTATATATGTATATATAATATCTATATCTATATTTCTATCCCTATCTCTATCTCTATCTCTATCTCTCTATCTATCTATCTATCTGTCTATCTATCTATCTATCTATCTATCTATCTATCTATCTATCTATCTATCTATCTATTTTTCTATCTATCTATCTATCTATCTAACTATCTATCTATCTATCTATCTGTCTGTCTGTCTGTCTGTCTATCTATCTCTATATCTATATCTATTTCTACTTCTATATCTATATATATATATATATGTATAATATCTATATCTATATCTATATATCTATCTCTATCAATATTTCTATCCCTATCTCTATCTCTATCTCTCTATCTATCTATCTATCTATCTATCTATCTATCCATCGATCTATCTATCTATCTGTCTATCTATCTATCTATCTATGTATCTATCTATCTATCTATCTATCTTTTTTCTATCTATCTATCTATCTTTCTTTCTATCTATCTATCTATCTTTCTTTCTTTCTTCCTTTCTTTCTATCTATCTATATACCTATTTTATTACATGTCACCACAATCCGGGGAAACCGCCACCTGGCGCCACCAGGTAACGCTTTAGATCACAGCTTCGACCCAGTGCTGGGCATCGAGCGCATGTTGCAGGTGACACGGCCTGGGGGCTGGGTATTGCTACGACATGCCAGGAACGAGGGCGTGCCTGGGAAGTTTCGCAATGGTGGCATGGCATCAGTTTTGGGCGCTGCGAACATGTTTTTGTTCTCCTGATTTCACCCAGAAGAGACTCGGGATTTCAATGGACTTCACGTGATTTATAGCTGATGTATGCTTATGTATGAATGTTTTTTTGGTGTAACTCGGTAGGTTCACGATTGGGTTAATTTAAGACTAATTATATATACTTAAGGGCCCTAGTTTAGGGGTTACAAACCAACTTATAACTGGGGTCACCATTTTATTATGGTTCACAAACATGTCCCCTTTCCTAACGAATCGCATGCGTTTGTTTTTCCTCATGAGGGATCCTGATTCTTTTGTGGATGTGAAACCTGGAAATATGGAGACTCCCCAAATCCTCAAGGGATAGACATGCACTGTTTTTGCTCTAACACCCGCATGCCGCACTTTCAATCCCATATGCTGCATGTATAGCATAGTTATCTACATTTTTGGGCCATGGTTGGAGTAAATGTTGGTATATTCACAGTATATATTCCAGACATTTCCAAACATTCCAGCACCATGGGAGCATGTGGGAGCAATGACCCAGGTTTGCATCAATGGGCCTTTGACGTCGAGGACTCCAGCTGCTTGGTTGTCCTAGAATTTGAGGGTTTATAAACCCATAGTCGTGATAGCAGTTATATCCTGCACCCCAGTTAACCAACTTATGAGTTCGATTTTCCATCCATCCAATTGTATCCAATTGTCATATTTGCAAACAATTTCTGTATGAGTTCTTTCCAGGGCGTAGCCTCACTACATTGCTTTCCCTAAGCCTCGAGGTGGTGAAGTGCACTTCCTGATTTGGAATCCCGATCTGCGCGCCGATGTCACCAACCACCTGCTGAGCACCGGCCATGCTGCCGAAGTAAAGACGCGCTTGCTGGATCATCCAAGTGATGATGCGCCGGAGGATGAGAAGCAACACTGGCTTTTGCAGGGAGCTTTTGCGGTTTTTAAGGTGTGTTTCCCGAAATTTTGGGGGTCCCAAAATCAGCCCACATATGTCCTTAGGTGAGGGGTGGGTTTGAGTCCAAGTGCAAAGAAATAGTTTGACAGGTGGACAAGAAGAACAACACATGGATGTATAGATAGCAGCATGTATATGCATGTATTGCATATGTGTTGGATGTTTGGCACATATCCCCAAAAAACAAAGTAGCACTTGTTCCTTGCTCAGGGTCAACCTTGGCTAAACCTTGGCTCCCAGGTATGTCTGGGTGGAGATTCGAAAGCCGACGGCAGAAGAATTTGCCTCACACTTGCGGCTGAAGGGAAGCGGCTAACAACCCATTCTGTGACAACCGGCGATGGGTGGATATGGCAATAGATTGTGGCCCATATCGACCTAAACAAGGGATAAACATTGGTTTGTACTCGTCAGTTGATCCATTTTTTCCATTCGCTCGCTTCTGAGGTCTTGCTCGTGCGAAACTTGCATCATAATTAGCTAACCCTGAAAATCAGGAAGGAATGATCCTGAAAGGTCAGACTGGCAGGCCGCTCTGTACAAATCATTCATCCAATCCGTCTCTGCTGTAGAGAGGTTGGAACCCTTGACATGTGCCATGCTGGGCAATCCTGTACCTGAGGCCCTTGAGCGTGGCAACTACAAGCGCACGACACAACCGCGATGGATACTCTTTGGCGGCTGCAGTGCGAAAGGATCCATCAGCCGAACGTCCACGTAGAGGATTCTTCGGTCGAAGCAGCAGCGGATCAGCATGTTCATGAAGAGCTCGATGTACCACTTCAGGTGGACCAAGATTGAGCGCGCGCAAGGTGGTGGGTTTCACGCCCACACTACCAAAACGCCACTGTTCAATACCATGTTGCCAAGCATCTGGCAACTGCATAATCCAGTTCTGGTGGCACTGGGTGCGCCACACAGATGCTCGGTCTTCATCAGGATGCTCGGTGGGATGTTCCATCAATGATCCGGCGCCTGCCAACACAAGAGTGGCTTCAGCGATCAAGGAATGCATCAACAACCGTGATCCGATCATGGTCTGGTAGAGCTCCTTAGTGGATCGATCATGCATGAGCCAAGGCAAGTCAGAGGACCGCAGTGGTCGTGGATGACGCTCGCCCTCTAAAACTAGATGCCTCGCAGCACTGAAGGTCTCACATGGCGGGCCTGTCAGGCCAGCTGCAAATCTTTTCTTCCGAATAATCCTCAGCATCCGAGTGAAGACAGATCCACGATCCAAGTTGCCGTTCTTGGAATCAATGGCTGTATCAACGGACAAAATGCGAACCACATATCCAGGAAGAATGCCATGGCAACATTCGCACCAATAATGACAATCACCACGGCGACGTCGTCCACTGAAAAGGTGCAAAATCCAAATAGTGGGCACGCCCTCCTCAATCACAATCGGCACCGCTTGTGGAGACGGCATGTGAGTAATACCGCCAAGAACGTGTTGGAGACATCGATGTTGCGCCAAAACCGGGTCAACAATCTCCTCGAGGTCTCTGCTGACCCGTCCATGGTCATTGGACGCAAGTGCACGTGGCTGATGAGCTTGGATAATGCGGAAGTGCCAGTCAAGCAAACGACCCATAGGAAGATCAGCAACAAGCGTCTGAAGTTCCGACTTGAGATGTTGAAAAACTCCCGGCACCAAATGTGAGAAACGTCGATAGCAAAAGGCATCACGACACCAGAGGTGTAGTGCCCATTCCTTCACGGTCTCATCTGCCAAGGAAGTAAGTTCAAAAAGAAGTCGTTCAAGATCCACTCCTCCTGCGGGTCGCCATTCTCGCACAACCTGATCAGCTTGCTCAAAGAAATCATGTCGCACACGGTCAGGGAGCGAGGAAGGTAGACCCTCCAACTGCCAAGCCTGGAGCAACGCAGCTTCGGCATCGGCTCGTGAGGCAATCACCTGGTCAATTGGCATCTCACATGGCATAGGAACCGGCTGGGAAGGTAGTCGAGCAAATCCACGTAGGTCTTCAGGCACATCAAAAACTTGCGCCTCACGTAGTGGCGCATACTTCCACGTCATCTGCGCATAGCAGCCATCAGGTGAAGCACGAGAGAGACGCAGATGCTGCTGTAGGCGAGTTGAAGACCAGAAGCATCTTCGACATGCCAAGCACGTGTCGGAGAAAACAAACTTCCGTTCATCTGAAATGAGTTGATGTGCAGTCCACATATGTGCTTGCAGTTTCTGTTTTGCATCAAACCGAGCAGAACACCAATCGCAGGCAAATGTGGCGTCATCTGGCATAAGTGCAGGCTCCTCATACACTTCGAAGGCAACACCTCCATCCGCAAGCGTCGCACGCAGTTGTTTGTGAAGTGCGACAATGTCACCAGCAACATGAAATTGAAGGAGACAACGACGATAAATACTGCGTACACGTTGCGGCCCTGTCTTTTGGTGCACAGCAAACCATGCAAGAATCTGCTCGACCGTACCCTGAGGCAAAGCAGGGGGGCAAAACCCTGCATCCATTCTCGCAAGCCAGGCTAAAGCTTTGCGCACAGCTGCAAACCATCCATGTGGGTGATGAGCAACGGATGTCAAAAAGTCCACCAACAAAGAAGGACCCACAGCAAAACAGTGGAAGGCATAAAGAAGTCGAGCCTTCGCCAGGCGCAACGCCAGGGGTGGCAGCTTCCAAATGCACTGCAGCTCGAAGTCTGTGTGCTGATCATCCGTCCAGCATCCATCGTTGATGATGGATCTTTGCCAAGACATAATGCTGGAATGTAGGTTGTGGTAAAGCCGATGAGGTAGCAAATCCCAACCACCAGCACCATGCAGAATCACCGGTACAATGAGGGATTCGAAAAGCTTCAAACGTGTGATAACTGAAACATGACGATTCCTCAAAATCGGTTTGCCAACCTGTCGCATTGCCTGAACAGCCTTGACACGCCGGTGTGCAACCTCTCGTTGAAGAGTGCCATCAGCTGCAAAAATGGTCCCAAGGTGTTCATAGGACGCAACACACTGCAGCTGCATATTCAAAGGTACAATGTCAATCCTCTCAAGACGCTCGACCATAGCGAGTGCCGATGGGCCGGCGCAGCACTACCTCGAAATGAGACAACTGCTTCAGTCTTCTTCGTCTTGAAGTTCAAGGACAAGCCAAATTGCAGGAAAACATCATGGGTTAATTGGGCAACTGTTGCAAGCGTGGTCTCAAGGATGGAGCACTCGGACACGACAATCGGCACCGCAACATCGTCAACCCAAGCAACGGGTGGGGCCTTCAAGCCCAATGCATGAAATCCCTGCTGCAAAGGAAGGCATCCATCCAGTCTGTCATGCAAAGCCTGCAGTACATGTGTCATCATTGCGTTGAACGCAATATCTGCCAATGGACTTCCAGGGCGACTGCCACGGGCAGTGCAGAAAGCATCATCTGTTCCTGCAAGTCCAAACCACGTGTAGACATGTGCATCTTGCAAAAGCCTTTGATCTGCAACGGAAACATCTTCATGAAAGGCCGCCGATGTAATCTCAAAAGCTTGGCGTAGAGCGGCAGGATCACATCCAGCTTCAGTCAACAACTCACATAGATGTGATGGCATGGCGTGAGCCGGACCAAAAACAATCTGCCGCACCATGCTATGAAAGGCACTCTTGACATCTAGGAACAAGATGGCAGAGGCCAGCTTGCACTCTCGGACTTTGGCATGAAAGGAGCGCAAGTAGTGGGTAGCGAAAAGTGTCGAGCAGGTTGGAAAGCCGCCTAGCTGAAGAGGGAGTCTCCATTTCAAGAGAGCTGGCAAAAATCTCGCTCGCAACAAAGAGTGCGCCAATTTTCCGATCACGTCAATTAACATGATCCCTCTCATGTTGGCCACTTCTCGGCTGTTGCTCTTCTTGGATATGGAGTGGAGCAATCCGCCTTTAAATTGTAACGGCTCCGTCCCTGTGAGCCACATCTTCATGAAGAGCTGCAAAATCGGCTCGGAAATCTGTGGCCCTGCAGCTCGAAGACACCCTGGAGCAATGCCATCGATGCCCGGCGCCTTGTGAGCAGTGAGGCGCTGCAAGGTGTTCTCAACATCGATGCGAGAAGGTAGTTGATCCAAAGACAAGGCAAACGGCTGGTCAGGCAGCCGGTCAAGTTGAGATAAGTGTCATTGATGCAGCAGCACCGGATACTCAATGGCAACACCAGCTTCAAGTTGACAATAATGGTCTGCTTGCTGCTCAACGGTGGGCCCAGAGCAGCGGATGTTGCTTTTCCTGCGATTCTTGGCTCGCGGCAACAACGGCTTGATAGCATCCCAAATGCGATGGATCCCTTGCTCAGCAACAACTCCTGTGTGCTCCGCCAAGTCGTCGAAGAATCTGCGATCATCATGTCGGACTGCATAGCAAACACGTAGGGTATGCAAACGATACTTCTCTTGCGCTATCGCTGAAGCAAGATCACAATGAAATGTGCTGAGAGGAGCATCTTCTCCATGAGCAACGTGAGATCGCCAGCTGCTGAAACAAATCTGGAGCCGAACCACGCGGGAGTCTGCCTTGGCACGCTGTAGCACCCGTAGAGCTCGCTTTTTGTGCTGAATCAACTCAAAGGTGGCTTCTGAGAGATGCTTCTTACGCAGGCAGCGTTTTGGTGTCGAGTGCAAACGGTGCTTCAGGTGCCACTGTAACCGGGCTGCGTATGTATGCACGTCACAGGCCCAGGAAAGCTGATGTTCACCCTCAACGGCTGTAGCACCAGAATCATGCAAGGATGAGGCCTGGGTCAGCTGAAGCCACACGTCAGCACAAATACATTGGTGATCAGGACGCGCAATGGAAAGATCAATGTCTTCGGAAACCCAAGTACGTACATCGCCCAACAAGATATTGTCAGAAAGACAGATGAAGTCCAGGCGGCCTGTGGAGCCTTCTGCATGTGTCCACGTAGGGTGTGACCCAACATGCGACTCACAATGCGTCTGAGGAACAATCAAGCCATGGGTGATCAACCAATCATGAAAAATGGCACCCCGTGAGGTCTCTGCTTCAGCACCGAAATCACCAACTGCTCGCGAGGTGACGGAGCCAAGTCGACCATTGGAATCACATAGCACAATCCACGTCCAAGAGCGATATTTGCCAGGAATAAACGAGCTGGTAGCAGACCACCAACGGTGAATCTCCTTCTCGTCATCACAGCAGGGAGCATGCAACACGATGAGAAGCACCGAAACGCAAGGATGTCGAAGTTGAACAACCAGCCGTCGATCATCACCATGAATAATACGGAGATGCTCATGATCAATGCGAATGGATACCGGGGACATAGGAATAGTCTGGGC